GGGGGGGTCATTGAGTTGAGATACAACAATTTTTTTTGTCAACTGATTCCCTTGTTATCTTTTTGTAATTTGACTCTGCCACTTACTGTGCAGTGTAGATTGTGCAATGTGGAGGGTTGTGTGTGTCGTGGTTCCCACCAGTGATTGATGGGGGGCTTTTGAGGCTGTCTCCTCCTCTACTTGTTGTCAGTACCCTTTTTGCCTGACTCTGTTCCTGGTGGAAAGTTGATGTTATCTCTGAAAGATGAGAAAGGCATTACTTCTGCATGCATGTGAAGTACTATGAGTTATTTGAGCCATGCATGTGTGTGTGTGTGTTCACTGTCAGCAGCAGTGAGAAAAATGCTGGATGATTCAGCTCTTTTCATTTGTTTTTTTTGGGTTTTTTTCACGTGCCAACATGACGTACTTTATTTCTTACTCCCTTACGTTAAAGATGATTGTTTTGGGGTGGGGGGGGTTGGAGGGTGTATCTGGTGTGTTCAACTTTTCTCTCCCTCTGGTGTTTCTTGTCTGTTTGTCTTATTCTTTCCCAGTACTCATGTTGTTATGTCTGTGTGTCTTTCTCTTAACTTACATAAATAGGGTGGGTGGTTGGAGGGTGCCCTGGTGTGGTTTGCTCCTTCTTTCCTATCAAACATTTATCGTTTTTATCTCTCCGCCTTCTTTTTTTGTGTTTGTTACTCCCTTGTAACACCGCTATAATCTTCAGCACTTACATAACCTTATTGTGTTGCAAATGCTGTAAAACTCTTACGAAACAAAAAAACAAAAAACCCCATAAATATGGGTTCCTCTTTCATGGTTTTGTGGGTGGTTGGAGGGCACCACTGGTAGGTCCCACTTCTTTTCTTTCCGTGTGTAAATTTTGTCTATCTGTCTTGCTTCTTTCCTGCACTATATGAATATTGTGTCAATATGCTTCCTTTAACTCAACCTAACTCCTTTGAGGTCCATTTCATTGGTGGGTTGTTAGCAGATGCTTTGATGTGGTTTGCTCCTTCTTTCCCATCAACCATCTGTCGTGCCTATCTTTCCTTTCCTTTGTATATTACTCTCTAGTAACACCTCTAGCCTTCGGGACTTACATGACATATTTTCTTAAAAAGTACTATAAAACTCTTACTAAAACTCAAAAACAAACCCTATATGTAAATTGTTTTTGTTGTCGAGGGTAAGTTTTGTACTAAAACATATTGCTGATGCTAGTTTTTGCATGGTTGGAGTTTCCCTTGCCTCAAACAAAACAAGACTGTGTGACTAAATTGTTGGGTTTTTACTTCCAGATTGTTCTTCATCGGAGCCAAGAACAACCACATGCCGGCCTTCATGTCCATGATCCAGTACAAGTACCTGACCCCAGCCTCCTCGCTCTTCATCATTGTAAGTGCTTGATCGCTACAGTCACAGTAGTGAATTTAGACTCAAAAGTAAAGTCAAGCGAGTGTCGATGACAATGGGTCGTCACTGGGGGGGGTGTGTCCTTGAGCAAGGCACGACAAACCTAGCTCAACAAGCAGGGCACTGCACAGTGGCGACCAGCAATGGCATGGTTGTGAAATTGTTTTGTTTTGGGGTAGTATTGTGTATTTATGTATGTTTTTATAAGTATGTATTTGTGTATGTTTGCCATTGTAAACCAAATTGCCCCTCTTGGGTCAATACAATTTTAATTAATTAATTTTATTTTTAAATGCTGGTGGGTAGAGGGTGCCACTGGGGCGACCTCCTTCTGTAGTTTCGTTCTCATTTCTATTTCTCTCTTGCTTTTTCCTGGCAATAAGTGACTGTTTTCACATCAATATTTTTGCTTCTATGCACTCAAACCAGTAAAAGAAATAACAGTTCAGACAGATATCGTGTTTCTGTTTGACAGATTACTTGAGCATCTGTTTATCTCTGAAATGAAAAGGAACTTTGACTTGAAAGATTTGTCTCTAAGATCTTTCTTTACCACCCTCTCCCCTCCTTCCCCAGGGTTACACAACTCTCTAATTCAGTCTTTTGGGAATTTCTATGACTGCAGCATGGAATATATTTTAAAAAATTAAGTCTTGTAACCTTCCAAATGAAAGCAATTTCAGGCATTGCAAGTGCCGTAAAACTCTTAACTATAACACACACACACAATGGGATTTGCTTTTTCTGTCCTCTCAAGTATCTGATATCTGCCTATGTTACTTGTATTATTGTACAGCGCATTGAGCACTTCTTTGTGGAAATGCGCTATATAAATGCAATTTATTATTATAATTTGTTTGTTCCCCCAGCTGTGCCTGACCCTGTGTTTCCAGTCTTCCAATGACATCTGGTTCCTCATCGAGATGGAGGGCTTCGGCTTTGCTTCCATCCTCACCATCGTCTTTGCCGGCCAGGTGTGGCTGCGATTCAAGGAGCCCGATCTGAAAAGACCCATCAAAGTAAGCGTTGTTTTGTATGCACAACACATAGCAATTAAATTTTCAGGTCTCATCTCAAATTAAAATTATTTTTTTCATTCAGGCTTGCAAATTGCTATCTTAGAATTGCAAAGTTCTATCTGACATTTTGAGTTATTTAGACCTTGAGGTCAGAAACCAAATGTTCTATCTGGTTTATCAAAATTGTCAGATTATTCGGATTTGTTGTCAAGAACTGCGTTCTGAAAAGCTTGTCTTATTGTGAAAATTGAAATGTTTTGAACATAAAATTTCTCTAAACTAGTTACTGCTGAGCCGATGGAACTTTGTATTTCTAGGGTAGGGTATTGTCCCACATTTCCTGGGACTGTACGGATTCAGCAATCAGGGAATATGAGAGGATTTTTTTTCCCCCCATAATGTCAAAGGATCAGAGAAAAGTAGTCTCCGGCCTGTCATTTCACTACTCTGGTAGACTCTCTGATGAGTAATGATTCTCTCCCCTTGTCCAGTTGTCCAGTTTGCACAGTGATTTATCAGAGAGAGTTTTTTTGGCTAAGTTTCCTCGAGGATTGTACAAGTTTTGAATTATTTCAAACTCAGTTCATGATGTTGGAGAGTAACTTACATAGCAGATATCATGAGGACAAGCTATGTAAAAGATATTAGATGTTTGATGGTGTAACAGGTTCCTTTTATGACTAATAAAACAAGCTGCAGTTGTATGTACACCTGTAATGCTTCCGTAAAGTCAGTAGATCAGTTCTACCCTCACCCTCAAAGAATTGATTAGAAACCCATTTGTTTAATCATACATACACGCGCGTGCGCGCACACACGCACACACACACGCACACACACACGTACACACACACACACACGTACACACACACACCGGATGTGATTTGCTCTTTCTTTCCTGTCAAGTATCTGATATCCTTATTTCTGCTACTTCTTTTCTTTGTATGTTATTCTCTTGTATCACCTCTAATCTTCAGCACTTATACGATCTAAATGTGTGGAAGGTACCGTAAAACTGGTACTGAAACAAAACAAAAACTCAAACGGTCAAACCACCTGTGTATGTCTCAGGTTCCCATCGCCCTGCCAGCCGTGCTGTGTTTGGTCAGTCTGGCCGTGGTCATCTTGACCTTCTACCAGAAGATGACGGAGAGTCTCCTGGCCCTGCTGCTGGTTGCCGTGGGAACCGTGCTCTACCTCATCGGCAACCGGTGGACCAACAAACCCGACTTTATCCAGTCCAAGATCAGTAAGTCCCTTGTCGGGGTCTGGGGAGATAGTGTTGTAAGACCGTGGGGAGGTGGGGCATCCTAGAGTACATGGCCGCAGGCCATTTCTGGTAAAAAATATTGTTGATGAATAAAATGGAAAGTGCCAAACAGTGGATCTAAAACAAAGGCAAAAATGGAAAGTTGTGACTTGTTCATGTTATCAGTAATTAAGGGGAACAACCAACAACTCAACACTCAGCAGAATACAGTGGTGACTGGGAAGATACTTGTTATTTTCCCCCTGTAGTGTTCTTCATTTTAAGATTATATTTTATATAGATGAAAATGGCAATTTATTGATCTCGGCAAAGAGAAATTTGCTGCGGCATGGTAAAAAACCCAAGCGCACATACTCATCACTTTTCGTAAGGGTTTAGCAATATTTCCTTATAACATATGGGTCATTCTGAATGCTCATCCCTTTTCCCTAAAGGTTTCAGTAAAATGTAGGAAGATCAGACAGATGGTTACGGCGGTACACTAGTCAGTTTCACACTCTGAGCATAGATGTTTGTGTGTGTTATAATAGCAATGCCTGAAGTAAAGTTTCAAGATTTGTCGTTTGAATAGTATAATGTTTATTTTTTCAAGGCTTCTAGGTGGGTGATTGACGGGTGCTCTTTTCCCAGCACTATCACTAAATGACCATTATTGTGTCAATGAGTTGGTGGTTGGCAGGTGCTCTGGTGTGGTTTGCTCCTTCTTTCCTGTCAAACATCTATCGTCCTGATCTCTCCTCTTTTTTTGTGTTTGTTACTTGCTTGTAACACCTCTAATCTTCGGCACTTATATGATCTTATTGTGTTGCAAGGGCCGTAATACTCTTACTAAAATTTAAAATTTTAAAGGATTCTAGTATTCCTATATTTACCCTACTTGGTAGGATTTTCTGAGGTTGTGTCTGAATTCTCTCTTATACAAATTACGTTTTTGACAAAGGGTGAGAGGATTAGGTGGATCTGCCAATGTTTTACAGATGTTTACTTGTAAGAAGGGGACTCATTTGTGTGAATGGGTGGTTGGCGGTGCTCTGCTGTGGTTTGCTTTTTCTTTCCTATCAAACGTCTATCGTCTTTATCTCCCCTCCTTCTTTTTTTGTGTTTGTTACTCTCTTGTAACACCTCTTATCTTTGGCACTTATATGACGTTATTGTGTTGCAAGTGCCGTAAAACACTTACTAAAACTAAAACATTTGTGTTGGTTGCACCTATTGACTCATTGCAACAATGCATTACAGTATTCCTAGCAGCTTCTGACAAGTTAAGAAAATTCTTATTCATGATTCTGTTTTTCTCCTCTTATTTTCAGCGGCTGTGAACATTTTCTTCCAAAAGCTGCTTTTGGTGGTTCCACAAGAGAACGAGAAAGATTTACAGTGGGACTAGATAGAAGAAAACAAATCTTCAATTCTCGGGGTTCCTGTAGAAAGCGGCGCTAAATTATGTGGAAACAGTCGCTCTGGACAGACAGATAGGATAACAAATTTTCTGATGAAAAGTTCAACGATGGACATTTCTTACTTTTAGGAAGCCAGTTATTGTGGCTAATCTGTGTGAGTTTCTCCTCACACTGGCAGCGCCGTACAACAAAAACATATCAGTTGTAGCACAGAATTTGAAGCCGTCAGGCTGAATTTTTTAGAAAGCGCAAGACCATCATCTTAGCAGGGTTTTTTCGCTGCATTGTTTACTCATGTTTTTAAGTAGCTGTGGCATTAAGACAAAAACCAAATGTTTTCATTTAATATCTGGCCAAAGAACATTTGTTTTAAAAATAAAAAGTTGATATTGATGACTGATAGGACAAGTTATAATTTGTTAATCCAAATATTTTACTTTGTGATCTCCACATCCTGATGCTTGTTTGCATAATGGAATGGTTCTTTTGTTTCGTTCGAGGCTTTCAAGTGATTGTCTTCATGAGATTTCTGTGTTCCTGTTGGGTTTTTCTTCTTCTGTCAGCTCTTTGTGTTACACGCTGAGTCAGCAGTAGAGCTTGTACTTTGTTCCAGGCTTGTTATATGGTCGCTTTTAAGGACAAGTGGGCTAACCCAAATTTCTGAGGTTTCCTGAAATCTTCACATACACCCAAAGTGGGCATTGCCCTACCTAAATGAGAAGTTTCGTTTCATTGGTGTGTATATTTGTTTGGTTAGAGAGAAAACTCTCCTTGTCTTTGAAAGAAACTGAAAAACTTTACCTTTGGTTTTCTCATAACAGCATATTTCGGGATAGCCCCTTGTGCTTAAAAGCGACCATATTGTTGTTTATGCTATTGTGATTTTACGGGACAAAAACAAGTGAGAAGTTTTTTTGTTAGCGGAAAGACTTTGATTAAGACTTCCAAGTGTTTTTTGTTGTATTACTTTGAAGATTTGAAATTATCTTTTCAGATCTCGAGTGGTTTTGTCAATAACAGTTTTGTTTTGTTGTTTTTTTTCCTTCTTACAATGCTAGGTTGGGCTAATTGTTTTCACTATATTTGTGTTTTTATTAACACATTTTTCTTCATTTGAACCTTCGCTTTTACGTAACAAGAAACTTGGATTATGAGGGTAATTTTTTTCTTTCATGACTTCAAAAACTTATGTTGGATACCTTTTAAGAAGGTAGATGTATTGCTTGGTGAAAGTCAGTACCCTGCTTTGTCCTATACCAGCTCAGCGATGCATCAGGAGAGGGCTGCAGATCACGACTGTTCACCCCTGTCATGCACACTTTGAGAGTGTTTTGCGAAAGTCAATCCATACTTGTGGAAGTTTGTTTCTAATTTAATTGTCAACCAAAAACTTGGCACCACAATAAGGCATACTTTCCATGTTTTCGCAAAATGTTTTTGTCGTTAATGTGTACAGTAATTGTATTCCGTGGACATTCTAAATTAAATTGTAACTGGAATTTTTGAACATTAGTACTCCTGATGAAGATGATAGACTGTTCTCTTGCTGGAGTGCACTGATAATGTAAAACTTGAGGTTTGGAAAAGGGGGGTTATGGATAAAAGTAGTGTTATGATAATTGTGGTCATGGTTGGGTGGGTTTTCATTTGTTGAAGTTGTCTAGTGATAGTGGTGCCTTGTTCTTTTTTCTTGCCTCCGTGTGGACAAAAAGTAAAAATCTCTTCTTGGGCCAAAGCTGAAATCTTTTTTTCTATGCGTTATATGACAGAGAGGTGCCGATTTTCTAAATTAATCCAGAATTTTGGATGTCTGAAATTGTTAGATTTCTGTCTGCTTTCAAGCCGAGTGTCACAAAAATAGTCTTAATACGAGATACAATAAGATCTGCGAATTTCGAGTCCCTGATTGAGCGTTTTCACGGGGTCTGAAATGTTCCTGGTTTTTTTACCATAGCCAGTTGGCACTTCTGTTTTTTAAAAATTCAGTGAATGTTTCACACTGAAGTCATTGTCTGCAGTTTGACCTTTCTCAATTCCTGAAGTAGAACAATTTCTGTCGTTTGAAATTACCACATTTCTTAAATGGTGAGGGAAATGACTCTCAAACTTTTGCAATGCTTGCTCCTCAAATAAGATGTCAAAAGTTTCTGTTCATTTTTTTCATGTATTTAACTGCTCTTTGAAATTTTGATCTGTAAAAGATTACAGTGGAGTTCGCTGAAACTGAAGTCTGTAGCACTACCAGATTTTCTTCAGTTTAACAGGGTTTTCAGTTTTTTAGAGAGGCTACTCGCATTGAAAAAAAAAAGGAAACAAGGATTTTATTTTCCTGTGGTTTATCACTGTTTTCAGATTCACCTTGTTTGGTTTTTAGCGTACTCCACTGTGGTTTGTGTCAAGAATTATGTTCTGTTTTGAGGTGAAAAGTTTGTGGACTTGGATGGGAATAAGTCTTTCAATGAAGTGACACACAGGAGGCAGTGGGGAAAATACATGTAAGCAATGACAGAACATTATTTCCCCCCCCCCCCCCCCCCCCCCCTGTCTTTCTTTTTTTCTTTTCTTTTTCTTTTTTTTTTTTTTAGGAAGATTGCATCTAATAGAAAAAGAGTAAAGAAAGGCTGTATCACAAGCTTAGAATCTGTTTAGTAAGTCGTCGTCTCCTCACGTTACGTGTGTCACTTTTCATGGAATTACCCCACGTACATGAACTCAGAACACGTGGTTTTGCCTGTGGAGAACGGAGAGAGAAAGAAACAGTCTGTGAGTGTGTGTGCACCTGTGTTTTACACAAAGGACAGCAGTGAATGTATGGATGCTTTCCTCTTATTGAAAAAACCAGCGCTCAATGGGTTTATGTGGAATGTATGTGTGTGCATCCCGCGACATGAGGTGTCTAGTAGGACGTGTAGCTGTGACCTACTAGACATGAGCGAAATGTTCAGTGAGGCTGACCTGTCATGTGGGAATGTGCGTAGAGTACCCTGTGTCTGCATGGTTTTTGTCTGATTTTGACTTGTCAGCAAGTCTTATTGTTTCACTTTGCTGTTATTACTTTGGAGTTTTGATGTGTTCTTTTTTAAAAACAGGTGGTCTAGTAGGGGTTTTTAAAAAATGTTTTCATTCTGATGACAGCAATCTGTTTTATTTATACCAGAATTTTGTTATAATGATACGAGAGCTGTTCCTAAGTCGGGAATTTGTCATAGAACTAGTCTTTTGCCTCCGCCAAGAATACTCAACTTTACTGTCTCGTATATTTTAAGTTTTGTAAATTAACTTGGACCAGCTGGAAATTGTAAATCAGACCAGCCTGTTGTCATAGGCTTGCCATCTGTCCCAGATTTCCCGGGACTGCCTGGGATTTGAATATTCCAAAACCTGACCCACTCAATGGTCTGGGATTTGAATATTCCAAAACCTGACCCACTCAGTGTAATTTTGTTCCTTACCTAATCTGATGTTATAACGTTGGGTGTCCCTGACTGAGTTTTGACGAAGTTGGCAAGCCTGTTAGATTTTTTTTTTTTTATAACGTTGGGAGTCCCTGGGTCCTTGACTCAGTTTTGACGAAGTTGGCAAGCCTGTTAGATTTTTTTTTTTTTTTTTTACGAGTTAAGAAAACGACAAAATAAATAACGGACTGTCACAAACTTGGAAGTTAAATCAGAAATTTCCCAAGTGGCTGGTTGGCAGGTGCTCTGGTATAGTTTGCTCCATCTTTCTTATCAAATGTCTGCTGTCGTCCTTATCTCTCCTTTGTTTCTTTCTTTTTTTCTTTTTTTTCCTTTTTATTGTTGTTGTTGTTCTAGATTTAGTAACAACTTTAATCTTCAGCACTTTTATGGCCTATCTTTGTGTTGCAAGTGCTGTAAAACTCTTACTTAAACTGTTTAAAAACTAGAACTTTCCCTTGATTGTGTAGAAGATTTGTGACCCTTCTCTACTGTTTGCCTGTATGGGCTTGATTTACCACCTGGCAAAAGATGCAGCGACCCCTTGACCTTTTTAAACTTTTCCTCGCCTTGTTGTGTTTGCAGATTCATTAGCTTTCAGTTTCTAGTACTTTTTTTTTTCTTACTTTTTTTCCTTTGGTCTTGCTGATTGTATACTTTCGTGAAAATTATTTCCTACCATTGTTGTTTTGACCCTGTTAATCTGATGTATTCGACTGTGACTATTTAAACGTTTACCTGTAACAGTGGCCCTTCAGCCCGTTACTTTTGCATTGTTACTTTGACCAGTGAGTGTGTACATAGTTACTTTGCTTCAGTTCAATTGTTTGTTTCCACGCTAGGATGAGGATGTCTTTGTGTGTGTGTCAGTATGTTTGAGAAGGAGTTGAGAGAAATGAGGTAGTGCAAACAAGGAAATATAAAAAAAGTTTTCTTTTATTGTTATAATATTACTGGTACAGTCTTGCACGTATATAGCGAAATCAACAGGATGTGGATATCTTTTCGTTATGTACAAATTTCGCTTTATATGTGTGTTTTAAATACAAAGATTATATACATATTATGTATAATTGTAAATTGTAAAATTTAAATATTTGGGTCCTGAAAATCTGTACGCTATCTGTGTGTTTCGCTGTGTATGTGTTCAGCATATGTGCGCGAGACTGTACTGGGTTTGTCAGATTTGCTGAGTCGTTTTCTTTGTCTCCCCTTGTACTACTGAGATAGCAGGAGAGATTTTTTTGATGTTGTGATTGTGTTTTTTAAAGGGTTTTTTCCTTCAACCATGCCATTATACCGGTACATCGGATTGTACTGTTTTATGCTGTCTGCTATTTTTACAGTTACAGTGGTTTCCGCTTAAACCGATACCTGCAGGACTCCCTGATTTTCCTTGGTTTAGCTGGGGGGGTTTTAAAGCTTGCTCAGATAGAAGGAAAAAAATTGCGGATTTTATTTTATTTGGATTAAGCATTGTTTTCGGATTAGCCACGCTTGGTTTTAAGTGGACTCCACTGTAGTCTACAGCCTGTCAGGCTGATGATTGCCTTTCTTTTTACGTGTTTGCCACCTGATGGAATCTCAAAATGTGACAGAAGTTTTATGATCTTTATGATTTTAGCTGTATGGTACATGTGTTGTTAGAGTGAAGATTACTGCTACACCTTGCGCCTTCTTACTGCTGCCCTTCAACTATACCCCTGATCTTATGGTAGGAAAGATCTACACCTAGCATTCTCGGATAAGGGGCGGAAAATCTCAGAGGTCTCGTGTGCAAGTTGCGCACGTTAAAGATCCCTTGGTGGTCCAAAATCTATAAGAGTAGGCTTTTGCCGCCAACCTGGCAAAATTCAAAATTTCCTGCCAACTGAAAATATTTATTGTGTCCCGCGCTCTCATATAACCGTATGCAGTTGCGAGCGCTGTAAAGAACTTACAACAAAAATTTTTTTTTTTAGAGTGAAGATTGTGCTCCCCCGATGATTGCTGCTCAATTACTTCCTAGATTAGATTGCTCAGCAATGCAACGTTAGATTTTTGTTCTCTTGCCTTCGCCAATCAGTAGATATTTTTGTTGAGTATCTCGGGTCTTTCTGCTGGGATGTTTTCTCCCTCTCAGCCCGGGTTGACCCTGACAGACGGGCAGTGTCGGAAACCCGCCTCCTCAATTATCGGAATTGTGTTCGTGGCGACGTTTAAATCACCTACATTTTAACCGACAGCAAAAATGTTTAATTGGACAGAGTAGCGTGGTCTACTCACCCTGTTATTGTTCAGTGTAAGCTTCTGTTTTCTCTTTAGTCTCTCTTTGTGACTTTCTGAATATTTTTTTGTGTTCTTTTTTCTTTTAACGACTTATGCAGCTGGCTCGAACTGTAGACAGTAGACTCAGCCAAGATCCCGGTGTTTTGGAGCTAAGGAAAATGTGAGACCAAACAGAAGTTGCCATGTGCCCACACATATCTTACATTTTAGTGAGTGCAATTACTTTTTTTTTTCTTTTTTCTGAGCACAATATGACCATCTGACCATCATTTCATAACTCATAAGCTGTTAAGTGGTGAAGTCATTTGAATTAATTTTGCGAGTAAGGCAAGTTGGGGGGTGGGGGTGGGGTTGTCGTGTTTTTTTCATGATCAGGTGGTTTAAGCACACATGATTACGTTTGTCCCATGCGCTAGTTGTGAGTGTATGTAGCACTATCCGTAATGTAATAGTTTGATCATTTTTTGACACTGCACACAGAAAACGTGTGGGTGGTTGGTGGATGCTATGGTGTGTTTTTCTCCTTCTTTCCTATCAATTATCTATCAGTTCTTATCTCTTGTCCTTCTTTTTTGTGTTTGTTACTCTCTTTTGTAACACATCTAATCTTTGGCACTTAGTGCCGTTAAACTCTTACAAAACCCAGGAGGGCTCCATGTGGCAGGTCCTACTTACTTCTTTCCTGTCCATCTTGTCATCTTTGTCCCAGGCTACTCCTCCCTGTATTGTCATTAGTGGTCTAGTGGTTAAATATAACAATAATAATAGATTGCATTTATATAGCACTCTATCCCATAATAGTATAAGCTCTGAGCGCTTTACACCAATCACATGATCATTGAGCAATTCACACAAGAGAAAATATTTTACAGAAACAAGAAAAACCAGTTCGACCACATGAAAAAGTACATTTACAACCGTACATTAATTATATACACGAAAGGGCAGCAGTTACAAACAAAACATATCAGCACTTACTAACACACTATTACTAAGAATTAAACATATGAGTCTTGAGCAATCGCTCATACATATCAAAATGTGTTATTTCTCTGAGGTCCTGGGGCAAGGAGTTCCAGATTTTAGGGCCAAAAATGAGAAACTTTTCTCTCCAAAAGGTCATAATTTCTTTCTAGGAGATCTAAGTTTTGATGCATCTTGGATCTCAACCGTAAGGTCATGAGTACGAATCCCGTCAGGGGCTTGACTTTGTGTCCCTGGGAAAGGCTATTTACCCGAATTTTCCTCACTTCACTCAGGTGGGAATGAACACCCGGCTATAGACAGCGAAAGATCTTGTCCGTTTTTGAGCGCTAATTAGGCTGCTTGCACTGTATGTTTCCAGGGAAGCCGGAATTTTTTTCTCAGTGTTCTAGAGTCTGCTGGGGTAACAATAATTGTAAAGCTCATAGAGCGCGCTGTAAATCGTGGATATGATCTGTATAAATGCAATTATTATTACATTATATTACTGTTACTGAGAATTCAGGTTTAGAGATGAGACAGTTGTGAGGACATGGTATGTCTAAACACTAACATTTCCATGATGTAAATGTGTCTACTTCACTTTCCAATTCATCTTTGTGAAAGCAT